GTAGCAAACTATTATTTATGTTTATTGAATTTTTCCAAACGAATTAATAGTAGATTGATATTGGAATAGTCATATAGTTAACTAGACAAACAACTATTAAAGTCACCACGAAAATAACGAATTAAATATCTCATAAGATCACTCAATTTTGGAAATTTATCTAGCAAAGTCATTGAGCTTTGTTTTGTTTCAATAAAATCACTTAACTTTGGCTATTGTATCAATAAAATCACTAAACTAAATTTTACATTAAGAAATTTGATATGACATATAAAATATTTGTTTTATGCCATATGATTATAAATTTCACAAATAAATAAAAATAAAATAAAAAACTTATTAAGGAGTGTTAACGGACAAAAAATATTATAGATTTTAATTCATATGGTAAGAAATTAACAGATGAAAATTGTTTTATATTTAAAACGAAGAGTTTTTCGACCCTGGTCACGTTATTGGTGAAACTAACGCAATTAAAAACGTAAAATTTGCAACAATTTCAACTGATAATATCAATAATTCCCCTGATTAATCACCAATCTACAACAATTGGTCACTCTTTATTCATTCAGAAAATCACCTATGAGATATATATATATATAATATATATATATATATATATTTATTTATTTATTTTACAAATATAGTTTTTTCGTAAAAGAAAATTTAATTTTCTTAAAAATTTATTTATTTATGGGGTCTATAGTTATATATGGCATAAAAAGATATTTTAAGTATTAGGTTAGATTTTCTTTTAACATAAATTTAGATGAGTGATTTTATTGATAAAAAAACCTAAGTTGAATAATTTTATCGATATAAAAAAAATTTGACGACTTTGTTAGATAATTTTTTAAGTCGAGTAACCTTTTGAGATATTAACTTAGAGACTATATAACTATAGTAATCACCTCTTTTAACCACAAAAAAAATTTAAAAAACTATAGTACTCACAATGAAGTATGCAATGAAAAAAAATGTCTGCAATGAGATCTTCTTCATGAACCTATATTTCTCCTTCTTGATGTCTGGCCTTTGAAAATTCAACAATCTTAGTTTGCAAATTTTCAATTAATCATTTTGCAACTGAAACAAATAAGTAAGAAAGAAGGTGACAAAACCTGTATTTTTTTTTTACAAAACCTTATTAAGTTTTAACCTATCAAATAGAAAATGCAAATGGAACTCAATATTTGTAAATGGATTAGTGTTTCACCAAAAAAAGTCTTTAAAACTTTATTTTGGATCTCCTTATTTTATTGACTTGGGTAAACATTTAAAAAACAAAAAGGAAAAAATTATATATATTTTTTCGTTTAATTGATGAGGGTGGGTGGGGAGTGGTCTGTTGGAAAAATAGAAAAAAAAAAACTTAATAAAACATGCAATTTTATAATGTCGATCATGTATTAAGAAATAAAATAAAATAAAATATGAATATATCATTCACACCTATCAGAATAAAACATAAAAATATTGCTTACCTAAGAGTGTATTTTGTTTAAGGGATGAACTTTTTTTTTTGTTTTGGAAAAAATGTAAATTTAAAAAATTACAGGTAGCCTAACGAATAATAAACTCGGAGTGAGATTTATTATTTCTACAATTTTTTTTAGAAGAGTCAATTTTTTTTTCATTTTCAAGCAACTTATATCTACAATGTATTTTACTAAAACAACTCAAATGTCATGTAAATTAATTACTAGACCAAATGTATTCCCTGAGAAACGGCTATATAATTCAGTCTTCATCATCCTTTTTCACTCACTGAGTCCTCTATGTATATAAAACATTCCTTCCATATTTTCATATTAAATTTCGTCTATATTTTTAGATGACAGAGAGAGGAAATTGCATTGTAGTTGTAGAGACAACGACTGTCACCCAAATGAGTTTCCATATAGAGGTGTGAGGAAGGGTCACGGGGGAAGTACAAAGTTGAATTTACAAACCAAAAAGTAAGTGTTTCTCTTGGAAAATTTGATTCACAAGAAGAAGCCGCAAGGGCTTATGATATACGAGAATGTATCACGGTGCTAAAGCCAAACTTAATTTTCCGATGTCAAATGAGGAAACCTAGAAAATGGCATTGTAGCTATAGTGACAATAGTTGTAACCCCAACTGAGATTCGATATAGGGGTTTTAGGAAAATGCCATGGGGTAAGTGCAAAGCTGATATTACAAATCAGAAAGTACGTGTCTGGCTTGGGACCTTTAACGGAAAAGAAGAAGCTGCAACAACTTATGTTAAGGCGACGAGGATGTATCACGGCCTTAAAAGCCAAAATCAATTTCCCGACATCAAATGAGGATAACTTAGAAAATGAGGAGCTCAAACTTGAACTCACCCTTGCTCTATCAGGGAGAAAATGAAATTATATGACACATCAAGTATTGAATGCAGTTATTAGAAGCAACAGTTTAATTTCCATTTTTTATTTTTAGAACAACAAAAATAATAGGAAACTTAATTATACCTTGTTCGTAATTGTATATATAATTTTTTTTCCATTATAGAATTCAGTTGAATGGATTTTTATTTGGTTGCATTGTTTATTTTCCATGTTAATTCACTTTATGTGCTCATCTTCTATTATATATTTCTTTTAGTTAGTATAATCTTGATTCTTTAGAAGTAACTTAAAGATGATAATGCCAATACCTATTGTGCATCTCTATCCATTTTTTATTATCCTTTGTATTTGTTGGTGTGCATTTTATTGGAATGTGATTGTTTTTAATTTGGGAGTAAATTTTGAGTTGTATTCAAATTCATATTGTCGCGCCCCAAGTCTACACCCTAGATGTGGCCGATACTGGTTGAACCAATGTTGGTCCCCAAGTGAACCCTTGGCCTGACTCATTACTCTGTGAAAGACATACTGAAGAATATAGGAACTTAATTACTGCATTAACTAATAAGGTCTCAATAGAAGTCTGAAAGTATATAATTAATCATAAGCGATTTACTTCATGTCTCAAAACATCACAAAGGAAGATAGGGAAAACAATCCTCAAAACTTTTGTCTAAGAAGCCTCTAAAATACTAAGATGGAAGTCGGGACAAGACCAATGACATCCTAAATAAACTAAAATCTAAATCTGAAGCCCTTCGAAAAGCAAGGAGGCTCACTAAAGCTAGCTGGAATGCGACTAGATCAACAGAGCGCCGGTTGATGATCCTGAATACATGTATCTGTGTCATCAAATGATGCAGCCCAAATGGCGTCAGAACATTAAATGTACAAACATGTAAGGGGAACACTGAAACATAACATATAGCTTGAACTAATAGAAATGAAGACATACTCACCTCTTCTCAACTCAACTCAATTCAACTCATGAATACTCAACTCAACTTAGCCTTGTATAGATGCAACAATAAAAGATGCATGCTGTATAAAGCTTTTAAAATAGTTGATAACAACTCAATGCATATAAAATTACAATAATAAACTCTTTATTCTTATTTGGGAGATTATCTAACTAACAACCATCACTATGAGCAACGTGATGATACATCATCTCACCCACATTGCCAGAACTGTCATATACCTTGCCGCAATATAGGACATCCTCAACTAAGTGGATCCACTAAGCTATTCTTAAAAGCAATAAGGAATCATCTAAAAAGTATGATCCTTTACCCATATTAGCATACATGAATTTATGAGAATTTTGAGTTGTCTGAACTCATCCCCATATCGGTACTGGGTACTACTCCCAATAATATATATAACTCATGCTCATATGTTTAGAAACATAAATCCTTCTCAATTTGAGATAACTACTCAATAGGTTCCCTTAAAACAGACAAAACTCAAAACTCTTCATGAACTCGTTTAGAATCAAGGTTTCCTCTCATTTTAAATGTAAAAATATTTACACTTGGGAATACTTAGTTCCCTTATACTCATTTTGGAAAATGAAACTCAAATTTCCTCATCATACTCATTTACTCAAGTCTTAAAAACAAGCTATAAATAATTGAAGAAGACTTCTCAAAAGGACTTTCTCGAACTTTACTCTTAATATTTACTTTGAATTTGAAATGTGAATTCAAGAGTTATAATTAGGATATGTAGGATCTCTCAATGATTAATGAAGACTTAGATAAGTAGTAATAAGAAGAGAGCAAAAACAAAATTTAAAGGAACGCATATCGGATGAAGGACAGAGGTGGAAGGGGCCTAATGCCCATGGCGCAACAGTGGCGTGCCACACCAGCCCTCAGTTGCCTGAGGCTGGTTTGGGTCACTATGCGATTAATTTCTTCCAAACTCCCTTAGATTCATAAACCCAACATAATTCCTGGAAAACCCACTCAAATTACATCATGAACAACACTCAATCGCAAGACCCTCACCTCAAGAACTCAACAAAACTCCATTGTTAAAGAATGAAGCACAAAGCCTCAAAAATTTCTCAAGAATTCAAATCAACCAACCTCAAGAATGAATTCATGGATAAAAATTGCATGATTGTTGTGACGGTGAACAAAATCAACACTATGAAATCTTACATACCTCGTAAGAACCAAATCCTTGGCGAAAATCCTCAAAACTGGATGAACGCATGAAACTTTCTCCTTTTTTCTCCACATGAACTTTTCCCTAACCTTTCGAACGCTTTTTGGAATGACGAAAACTGATTCAAATCAACTTAGACCCCTAAAAGGGTGAAAAGAAACGTGTAGGACTAGTGGGGTAAGGAAAAGACCAAAATACCCCTCCTTAAAATGGATGAACATGCCTTATTAGATAGACTACACTAAAACGGGCATATCTCCGTCATCCGAACTCAAAATTTAGTAAACTCAACAACGTTGGAAAGAGGACTCAAAGACTTTCGATTTGATTCCCATGGGCCATCTAAGTCATTCTGTGCTAAAAGTTATGGCCGTTTGAAGTTGACCCAAAACTCGCAATTGAAAAGTAACTTGTACAAACTCCCATCACTTTCTCCTCCAGGTAAGGTTCGGGTTGCAATAACTGTCAAAATGGCTCAGGCGAAAGCTAATAGCACAAAAAAGGCAGACCCCAAAGCTCAGGCTGCAAAGGCTGCCAAGGCTCTGAAATCTGGCTTAACCTTCAAGAAGACGACAAAGAAGATACGAACAAAAGTCACGTTTCACAGGCCTAGGACATTGAAGAAGGATAGAAACCCAAAGTATCCCCGTATTAGTACACCTTCAAGGAACAAGTTGGATCATTACCAAATCCTCAACTGTCCTTTAACCACTGAATCAACAATGAAGAAGATTGAGGATAATAACACCTTGGTTTTCATTGTTGGTATCCATGCTGACAAGAAGAAGATTAAGGATAACGTAAAGAAGATGTATGATATTCAGACCAAGAAAGTGAACACTTTGATCAAGCCCGATGGAACCAAAAAGGATTACGGTCGACTGACTCCAGACTATGATGCATTGGATGTGGCTAACAAGATTGGGATAATCTAAAGAGAAACAAGTTGTTTTCGCGCAAAAATAACTCATTTGACAGTTTTGTTAACTGTTTTCAGGTCAAGTAGTTTGAGTAGTTCTTATAGTTGTGACTATTAATTAGAGAGGTCAATATGTTTGTACTCTTGAGAGAAACATTGTAACTTTTTTCTTACATGTTCTGTTGGCTTTAAAAGAAAAACTTGTACAAATCTCAATTTAGCTCTTTCTAAGACCTAGGTGTTACACATATCTATTAACAAGAGTCTGCAACTGTGCATGATGCAAAAAAAGTGAGGGCTTTGAATTTACCTATGTTAATGATATTATTTTTGAAATTCTTGAACTTTTGAAGGTTCACACGGTAAAGAATGAGTCAGGCGAGGATTGGGAGGACGAAGCAAAAGACAACTCTGGTGCCTCTAGGGACACTTAAGGGAGTTGAGGAATTATAATGTGGAGCTACATTACTGAACCTGTTAGTTGCCTATGGTATAGCTACATTATCAGTTTTTTGTGTAGATTTTGGTTTCTATTGAATAGATTTTTGATGGTATATTGGTTGCTATCTTCGTTAAAGAAAATCTATTAAAAAATATCTTGAGTGATATCCCTCAAGGAATTAGTAGGGAAGTGTATCTTCAAGCACTTTCTCGAGCACTAGTAGCAATTTTGTAAGAACTGATGCAGAGTTTCAGCAAAAAGGCATGATGCAATCTCTTGCTTTAGGTTTGGGTTTGGTGGGTTTTTTTATTTTGATAAAAAAATTATGTGGCCTATGAAAATTGACCATTTATTTAGTTAAATACCATGTCATATTTCTGTTAATTAAAGAACATTTTTTAACCTAAAGAAAACATTAAGGGCATTTTTAGACCAATAGGTGGAAGGAGGGCATTTTGAACCATTTCTAGTAGGTTAAGGGCAATTTTGAATCTTCCCCCCGCTATGTTTTAGTAGTACTACAACAATGGTATAGCCCATTTACTTGTTTTCCAATTCAATTTTTTCTAATAGTATTATTCCATCACTACTCGAACCATGATAAAGTGGTTTCCTATCAAGGTCTGGACAAGCTGCAAAGTTTTCATTACACAACTCATTAAAAGTACATATATAGTCTCAATTAGTTGATTGATAAATCTAAAAACATTAGCCGTTGAATATTCATTTTGGAGATTTCAAATTTTCTAACCAAAATTTTATCGTGATTTAAAGATTTCATTGTTTAACTCTATTAAAAGATTTGGTTTCCCTATGTGTTGGGATTAATCAATTTGACAGACACCTGAAGGGATACATGCAATTGCCTTTTATATATGTTGTTGCCTTAACTATATCATAGTTAGATATGATATAATTAGCTTTCTATGTAATTGTCATATAAATATCGTTATGCTAAGTCGTTGATTATGTACTTTTTTCTGATAGATTATGGTGGAACACCCCTACTAAGAATTGTGTTCACAAGATTGTTTTGCACATCACTCCTATAATTACATGTTGGGAAATCTTGAAAGCCAGGTGTGGTAAGAAATATGACAACAAGAACTTCAAACAAATGGTTAGGAGTAACAACCCAAGTGATGCGAGAGGTAATATTAGAATGTACAGACGTAACGTGCCTTCTTTCAGATTTAAAGCGAAGAAAAATTCAGGTTGGCAATTCAACTAACCTTGAGCAAAGATGCACTTTCTTACGAGCTGGAGACTTCCTTCAACCCCGTATAGAAAAAATGGGTGATTACTCAAGGCTATGCATATAGACATTGAAGAAACCTTACCTCTAATGCAAGAACCAGGTTCTTGTATGTTTGACTAGGAAAGAACTTGACACAGTTAAACAAATACTTCTCTTTAAAACCTTTCTTACTCAAGGAAGGGAAAACCCCAGTATTATTCTTCAAACTCAAATCACAATTACAACTTACCAACCTAAGAAATAACTCTCAACTCTCTAAGAAGTCAAACTCGCTTCTTGTAGCAAACCTCTCCTTACCTCTCCAAGAAGTCAAACTCAATTCTTGTTACAAATATCTCCCTAACTCTCCAAGAAGTCAAACTCGTTTCGTGTTATAGATATCTCTGAAACTCTCTTTCTATTCTCTCAAAAGAATTCTAACCCTAAATCTTCTTTCTTTATCGTTGGGTATCTTCTGGAATTACTTTGGCTCTTTCTTAGAATAAACTTCTTAATTCGTGAACGTGCAAAAAACCAAACTATTCGTGCTTCCTCCTTGTCCTTTTATAGATGCTGATTTTTGTGTGCCCAATTTGTATAAGGAAAGAAACTAGTTTTTTCCTTGAATATTAACCCCTTTCCTGTTAGAACTCGTATGCCACTTCTCCTTATTTGCGTTAAACTCTTTTCCTTTTAAAGTTTTCCTCTTTTGACTCGAATTACTTCTTAACACAAACTCTCCCTTTTTTTATCTCTGCCTGAGGTCTTTTTCCTGCCTTTTACTTTTGAATTCTGAGCTCAGTTATATGAACTTGGTTCATGTTGTCTATCACCAAAATCTCTATGTTTGACAGGATGGCCAAACCATAAATTTTCCCCTTATTGATGATGACAAATCTACTCCATGTCCTGTACAATGTCAATGCTACAACAAAACAAACTTCCCCCTTTCGGCATAGCAAAAGGAAGAGTAAAGTACAAAAACAACAATAGCTCAAAAACTCAGAGCCCAAAAGGCTAACACCTAAAACAGAACAACATATATCAACACCAATCTAATGATATTAGTCATCCTAACCATAGGCAAAACACGCATCACCTGCAAAAATAGATTAAACATACAAAACAAGATGCACTATGGTTTAAGCTCACAGAGCTCCACCAAAATAGTCACCAGATGCAAAAACACACAAAAATTATGACTTTGTCTTAAACTGAAGCAAAAATAAACTGGAACAATAGTTTTAAGAGGTTGAAGAGGGAAGGTTGTGATAGAGGCTGAGATAGGGCAAGAAGCTGCAGAATGCGATCCACCCGAGCATTTTTCTCAAGTTGTTGTTGAAGCAACTGGTCCTTCAGTCGAATGACTTCCCCATGAGATGCATCCAGATCAATACGCAAGGTTTCAAGTTCGGCCTGAAAAATAACATTTTGGGCCCTGGTAGCATGTAGATCATTAAGCAAACTTGTGAGAGGGCCATTAGCGTGCGAAGGAGTAGAAGGAACCTGATCATTCTCAGAAAGAAGGTGGCAATCAGTAAGTGTGGATCGAGTAACCATATCATTTCTATTCAGAGCTCGCCCTTCCCCTAAGGGTACATTAAAAGCCTTGAAGACCACAATAAGAATATTTCCATATGCCAACTAGTGAGGAATTAGTTTAGGATCAACAACTCATTCCATGTGTTTGATCATTAGATTTGGCCAATCAATGGGACCATTGTTCTCCAATGCATTGCAATCCCCACGTATCGAAACAATCCCTCATGTCTCCGTTCCCCTCTAGGCAAGACCCCCTTATTAACCAGCTCAAACATTAGTTTGTGAAGTGGTGTCATTTCACCCTTAAAAACCTTCATGGCCCTAGTAGTAGCTCTACCCTAGGAATACTTGGAGGTAAGCAAAGAATTTTCATCTTTGGCTCATATGTACTCAGCCAGCCTTGCAATAGGTATATGAAAAATCTCCCCAAGCTTAACATGATCAAACACCAATTCCACCCCATTAACAGACGAAGTGGCAATATTGTCCTCCAACACATTAAGATTTACATAAAATTCCACCACCCAGGCTCATACACCATCCGACTAGTATCAAGAAACAAGCTCCCCACCCCTAAAAATCCAATAGGTCAAAAACCCTCTGAACCACCTCTAAAGTTCTGGTTTTCGGATGGAAAGGCCTACCCCTAAGGACTATTTTGGATCCAAAGTAGCGTTCCTTCCCCATAGCCAAGTATTTGGCAAATTTTTTTACTCATTTTTTGCGACTGGGGAGGATGCAAAGGGAAAATACTTAGATACATCCTCAGGTTTAGAACCAAACATGACCAGGGAAGATGGTGGTTGAATCGGAGACTTACCCATACGATAACATTTTTTGCTTAATTCAGCCGCTTCGCTTAGTCGGGTCTGACTAGCACTCCTAGTGAAAGGGACACGAATGGTGGTCTATTTTACAATGATATGCTTGCATGGACGCCTGGGTACTTTTTGATATTGGAGACTAAGGGGACCGGTGTCAAGGTTTTGTTCTTCGGGATCATTGGGTGGTAGTGGAGGAGGACTGGTGGTGATTATTAGAATTGGGGTTTCAATTGGAGGTGGTGGTATAGACGTAATGATGTTAGGGTTAGGGTTTTCTGAGGGAGGAAGCGTTGTAGAGGGAGTAAAAGGGTCACCCAAAGCGAATGTCGGCAAATGTCGAAGAGGGACGAGTAGGAGATAGAAATTTATGAGTAGGGTCGGGTAGTGAAGGATTTAACGATGTGTCTATGGAGAGAGTTTCTTCCCACTAAGACGATGCATTAGGTGATGCCGAAATGGATTCTCGCACCGGTGAGGCGGAGGAGCTTTCATCGTTGGAGTAGGTGATCAGAGGTAGAGGATTAGCTATGAGGTTTTCTCGATTTCTGGGATTTTGTTATTTTTGGGGTTCTTTGGTGTTGTTCTTTCTGGTTTATAGTGAAGGATATTTGGGAGGAAATCTTGGGAGGATGGATGCAATGATGGTGGTTTGATAGTGATGGGAGTTGTGATTGACGGTTTGGAGCTCGGATGTTGTGGATGACATTTGGGAAAAAGTGAGAGAGAAATGTCTTTAGTTTGGGCTTGGAGAAATTTCTCACGTAGGAGTCCGAGTTTTGTTTAAAAAAAAGTTAAATCATACATATGAGCGGGATGTAGATATCGATAAAAAGGAGGATGAAGTGCATACCTTAGAGTATGAGAACCTTGTCCCTAACATGTGAGCACTTTTGTACCATAGTTATAGGAAATTAAGGGTAATATCAAGAGACCTTGTTGATGAGTTGTCCCACTTTAGATCTTTACCTGAG